CTTTGAATCAAGCCCAAGTCCTGGTGATCACATGGACACATCTGCCTCCCCTGCAGCTTCTGCTTGCTGCTAAGTGCCCAAATCAGCCTTTTTTTCTGTAGCTGTCTTACCCTAAAACAGCAATGATTCTCTTAGCCCCCTCCTTGTTCTTCCTGTCATTCAGCTTCAGGTTTTGAGTCCTGTTTCAAGGACTCTACAACACACCATCTACATGGACATTTACAATTCCCATGTAATCTTTCTCTAGTTCTCATGGGACATTGCAAGTAGCTACTTATCCAATCATGATATGTTATTCCTATGTGGTCAGTAAACAAGATAGATCTTCCTGGATACAGCTCACAGTTGAGCAACACTTTACGTAACAAGAATAGGTGGCTTACAGATCTCAGCACTCAGACCCCCCCTCCCCAATATGTGCAATTGGCTGAGCAGATTTTGAATGGTAGGGCATTAGAAGGGGTATCATGCTGAGAAATAGCTCCAACTAGACAATAAAGAGCCGTGGTGGTGCCACTTATCTTGAATACAGAGCATTATGCCTTGAGCATAGTTATAAAAGATGCCTGTGACCAAATAACTTCAACTACCTAAAAATGAGCAACCATTACAAAATTCATTGTCCATAATGCTTTAGTCTATACAGTGGAATGTAAACACAAGAAAAAGAGAGGATGTAAGTAAATGCATTCTACACACATCATTCATAACGGTGTCTAACTTAACCACAGAACATTAAAAACATTTAACAAGGCTTGAGGCTAGTTTCCTTATTTGTAAAATAAATTTAACCAATAAATGTTACTGTTTGGGAACCTAGGAAACTACTTTATAAGGAATTAGGCTGTTGGTTCCTCCAACCTTATAACCTGTATGCTGCATGAGAGCAAATCTCCAGGATTTCAGACAAGTTTTTTCCCCCCAGCCATAAGAGATGATACCAATGGTTGAATCTTGAAGCTTTAGTCTGAAAAATGTTTATTCTACCTACAACGAGCTCCTTAATTCTGCAACTCTCTGACTGTCCCAAATTATTAATCAGAGCTGTGCAATGCTTTGGACTGGATTCCAAAAAAGGGCTTCAGGGTGCATGGGGATGCCCATACCACACCTGGCGACAAACCTTTAAAACAATTTTTTCTTTTCCTGAGACTACAGAGCAGCTGTAAAGAGTCAGAGACAGGGGCAATGGACACCCCCCCCATGCACTCTGAAGTGCCTTTTTGGAATCCAATCCAGAATGCTGCATTGCCCTTTTCTTGTTATAAAGAACCTACTTCATGCTGTCTTCTGTTAAGCTTGAAGGCTGGGATGCCTGGAATTGTGCCCATAGAGCAAATGGTCTTCATTGCAACTTCCATATGTCAGGAGGCCCAGGAAAGGACACATGGACAGCAATTTTCTTTTTTATTGATTAGGTTACAATTAATTGTATGTGTGCCTTGCTCTGAATCTCAGCATGTTGCCATGAAGGATAAAATGGCATTCTGGGTATAGAAAAGGTAAATGTCAATTTGGATTTAATATTAAAGTGATATACTGTACATGGCCATTTAAAAAGTGAACCTTCATAAGACTCTTAAGTCTAGAGTCTAAAATTATCTAGTTGTATATCTGGTCTTGTCCTAGGGTGTCTACTCAAGATGGTGGCTGTGATGGTGCAATTAAAGTGCCATCTGTTTTTTATGTGTGTCACATGAGAAATGTTCATTAAAAAAGTGGACAGAGCTTTGATCACATTGTTGTGGCCACCATCTTCATTTTGTTTACCATATCCTGTGGATACCCCTGCATATAACTTCAGTTAAATAACACTGATTTTTTTCTGTTTTTTTTTTCCTGGAAAATTTCAACTATGTACAACTATTAACAAGTAGGTTAACTCTAGCATCTGGCACACCACTATGATTTATGAGCTTGTTTTGCTGTTGTATTGCTTCTTCATCACTAATATTTGGCTCTTTTCAACTTTTGGGAGAGGTATGGCAAACTGAAGACATCTCCGCAAAAGTGGAGCTGACAACTGCAGCAAAGATCAAGGAACCAGTGAATAGATGGTTCCTTGAAACCTCTTCAAATAAGGAGAGGATGGGAGATTGTCCACATGTGCTTTGGATGGCTGCTTCTCATGAGGAGTCTGCAGGGGAGTGGTTTTCCATGAGTTTGAGTGCCAGGAGTCAAAGGGGTCAGCCATTGTGCTCACAACTGCAGCAGAGCCTTTTAAAGGACACTAAGTTTGCAAACTTCGCTTTCTAATCACTTTCAGAAATTGCCTATTAACCATCTTAAACCTATTAGAGACCTTCAGAACGACAAGTTTGAAAAGTCTTCATCAGGTGAGTCTATCTTCAACTCGGAACAAAAGAAAAATTAATTATAAGCTTAAGAACTTAAAGAATTTGATATAAACAGCAAAAAGCTAAATAAGCTTTTGATCTAAGAAAGTTATAACTGGATGAAGGGTCCAGATAAATTTGGAATATTAACTTTTATTGCAAGATTTTGGAATTAATGATAAAAATAAATAGCTTCTGATGGGAAACAAACTTATTTTGGCTATCTAGGCTATTATAAATCACAACAAAAATAAATTTTTATGATTTTAGAAATTGGCACTAGAGGGGATTAATGATTCCAAGCAAAAGGAAAAAAAAATACAAGCTTGTTCTTGATGTCATTTAATACCGGGACTTACAAAATGACACAAAACATAACACCAGAAACATTAAAGGAGATATTTGAAAAATTGAACCAGAAATAAGTAAGTACAATATCAACACCATCAGTAATGATGTCTGTTTCTATGGATAGACTATGTCCAAAAGATGTTAATGAAGGAATGACAGATGTGGAACAAATTTTGTTTGACAAGATGGAGAAATTACCAAAAGTGGAACTACAAATGACAAGCCAAGAGAATGATTTAGAAAAGGACGCTTTACTGGATATACAAAAGAAACTGGCTGAAGTTTTAAA